CTATATCCGGTTAAACCATATTTAATTAATCAAAAGAAAAAAATTAAATAATAAAAATTATTATGTGCAATACAATAGTTTGTTAAATGATGGTATATTGAGTGCAATATTAATAATATTCCTATGTACCGATGAATTCTGTGTGAAGTGGAAAGTGTAACTTGTTAAAATTTATTTTTTTTTTATTATTTTTTCCCCGGGGAGGTAGTGTTCTTAAATTTATAGTTTATTTGGTATGTTTACCAGATTTGCAATATTAAATTTAATAGTAATACAAGGATGTTAAAAAAATAATTACTTGGAAATGTTGATGTGTAAAACAATAGTTCAAATTTTGTTGAATATATTTTGATATTTTTTTTTTTTCAAATGGAATATATATATATATATATATAATTGGCATTAATAGTAAATAAATAAGTTTTTCTAGATCATTCAAAGGTTAAATTTTTGTGTGTGTGCTCATGATTTTCACCGTCTCATTCTCAAATTGATTTCAGGGTTAATCCGAAACACAACGCAAATGTACAGGGCTTATTGATATTAGTATATTACTGTTGTTGAAAAATTTAGTGTTTTGTCAACAGAGTAGGAAACCTTTTAGGTACCAGACCTTTTGGACACCATAACATTTTTTGGTACCATGACGTTTTTCACCATAACATATTGGTGCCATGACATTTTGATATAACAGAATGCCATATGAAAAACCGACAGAATATGAAATACATATCAGATTCGTTTCGAATATAGATACATTTAATACATTCATACTTTAAATATAATCCATATATTTAATACATTTCCACACATCGTTATCTTAAGAAATTAATAAGAAAAGAATAAATATTGTTTTCTACAACTTTTAATATTTTACGCATTTTTTTAAATTTATTTCTTACGCGTTTAGCTATTTGGCCCTACACGGAAAGCGAGAGATGCCCGCGGATGACTTTTAAGAGAAAATAGCTCGTATCCACGTTACACATGGGGAAAACCATGAAAATGCAAATGCAGTCAGCCTGTTCACAGGGTCTCGAACCCCTGACCGAACTACCGCTGTTCAGTGGCTTTTACCGCACGACCCTGGTGGGTCTATTTACGTATCTTGAATAATAAGTTTTTTAATGACACTATTTCATCATTTTTTCAAAATAACATTTGTATATTTAAGGAATGCACATTTCTTTAATAATAGTCTTGTCATGATCTTTCTTCAAATTTTGCCTAAATAGCATTTGCTATTATATAGAATGCCTAATCTATATATACAATGCTTAGGAAATGTACACAATGATATTCTAGTAGTAAATCAACAGTTTGCTATAATTCTCATATTTTATATTCTGCCCAAAAATGCCAGGCATTCTATAAAATGTTTGTTTATTCTAGCGAACACCAGACATTCATACATTGCCGGTAACATATAAACTATTTATTCATACTCGTTAATGCTCTTAAATATCAAAAATGATCTATGTTTTAAATAAATTGTGACTTTCGGCACACATAAACAAGATTATAATAACAGAAATTCGAATATGACAGCAGAAAGCATTTGAATACGTGAACAGGAAATATTAATATTAATACGTAGATACGTACAAAACTTACAAATATTTAGACTCATGCTTGAAACTCTTAGGCATGACAGAAATGATCCCATGTTCAAAATATTCAAAGGGATATACATTGCAATAAGAAGGCAATTCCATACCCAGACAAGAATTTCTACACTTCACTTTTTTAAAACCAAGCTTATTATAAACGAAGATAGTGCTTATAATTTAGTGCATGGTCCTAGTCTAATTCATTACTGATTTCCGAGAACTGGCGTAGTTTTCACTATTGATTCATACATTAATTAAAATAGGAAAACTTAAGAGACCGAAAAGACCAATTATTCTTGATAATAATCTTTCTCAGAATATGAGTAATTCGTGTGCGTGGCTTTGAGAAATGAACACAAACTGGTTTTTGAAATTCCGCTTCGACCTGATATTTTACTGATACATCTTTAAATAATTACAATTTCTTTCTCTATTGAAAAAGAATTTAGAAAAAAAGAAACATACCGAAAAAGAAATTCAGCATTTGCCAAACTAAATTTTGGAGGGTGGATTTTGGCTGCCCTGCTCCGGGAACTTAAGCCCACTACAGGTCCACTCCCCCTTTGGGCACATCGTGGAGGTTCAACCTCCACTATTACCCTCCAGGAGAGCAGCGCACCACCTGGGGACAGGCCCCAGGCAGCACCGGTAGTCTAATGCTCCTACCAGTCGCTTGGGCGAGCCCGTCGCCGCGGGACATTACCCAGCGACCCGGGGGAGACCCCCCGGGTTACTAGAACCACGCCACGCTAGGACGTGCCAGACTCCGGGGCCCGCCAATAAGTGACCTTTCCCAGAGCCTTCAGAACCACCAAGTTCATAAATTTTATACCCCCGTGGCCGAGACTGCCTAGGTACAGATCCTAGCCTGTAGCTTCGCAGAGTTCTCTACGTCGACCCCCGGGGGGAAATTTTGGAGGGTATCTTATGCTAATTACTCAATTATTATGATTTAGGGCTTTACTACAAATTCCCCTTTCCTTATTCATCACCAGAATTCAAATTAGATTTGTGTGTATTTAAGCTGAAAGTTCTGAATCTTAAGCTTTAGAGCTTCTGGAAACCGAGACTTATTGTTAGTATTTTCATCAGATCTGTTTAATGATGTATTCCGGCTTTGACCTGTCGCTAGCCGTTCCTTAAAATACCTGAGCCAGTTGTAACTAGTCTATTTTGTGTGTAGTCTTAGACTACGTTTCTGTGTTTGAATTTCACTTTGTTATGTTGCTTTTAATATCTACGAATAGTGAAAAAGACCATCTATAGCACAATCTGTGTCTGTTCCTTACACGATTAAATAAAAAGTTTATTTTAATATCCTTCAGTATTTTGTTGGTTGCTTAAGACGTAGTGATAAATTGTAAGGTCCTTCTAATAAGAACCAAACCCCTAAAAGTTGAAAAAATTAGCCACTTATTACGCTGACATTTCCAGGAGGTAAAAAAGGTATATACTAATAGAAAAACTGTCGTATATTAAATTCAACTTTTCCTCTTATGAAATTCAATTGGTAAAATACATTGTTTAGAATACGAATATCTCAATGGTAGCTTTCAAATGTTTTATGCCACCCAATCGGGATAGCGATTAGCGACGCAGACTGCAGTATGGAAGGGCGGGTTCGACTTCCGAAAAGGCACGGATGTTTGTATTATAAATGTACAGTGTCCGTGCGGAATGAGGGCACTATAAATACATGTAGAGCCAAAAGTCCTCTAAAGATGTTGATGGTAAGGGAAGAGGGGCGGGAGACCCTCGAACCTGTTCCTTCGGGATGCTTTTAGTTAAAATTGGAGGCGGTATTGGAGCAAGTATTTCAAATGCTTTCGTACTTTCACCTTGATGGTGCCCAAGGCACACCACCAAGGTGAAAGCTGAATTTCGTGGGCTTGTGATGTTGCTATCAGAAAAGTGAGATAAGGCGCAACAACAAAAACGATAACAGATGTTTTGTAGTTCATCCATTTAAGGATTTAGTGTTTGAAAATAAAGTTTGGCCCAAATTTTCAACTAGTGTAGTTCTGTATCACTCAGTTTCTGTACTCTCTGAAGCGATTTGCTAATCTCTTTGTCCAGACAGAATCTGAGAAAGACACAATTTCCTTATATCAACGCCAACGTAATCAATCCTCTAAAGGCAGTGTTAAATGCGTGAATATTTCTTTTCGAATACAAGAAGACAAGGAGTCGTAATTCAACTTCTACGTTCCATCTTTTGAGGTTTCCCCGATCAAAATCACTTGGCTGGAATACATTATATTATGTTCCTAGAAGGCTCTTTGTAAACTTCATGAAATATACCATTGTTATGTATCGTAAACCTCTGAATGGAAAGTGTGTGGTCGCTGTAGGTTGAAGATGAAGCAAAGAAAGAATTACTCAGTCCTTTAACCATGAAGTTGGAGTCTGACAAAGCACAGTCTTCCTACTGGGCAGAAATGTCAGTCTTGAAATTAAAGAAACCAATTGGAAGAGCAGTTTTTAAATTCAATTTGTGTGCGTAATCTGTAGAAAATTCATAAGTAAAATAATTTAAGCCTGATAACTGATAAACTGTTAGAAGTTTACGACAGTTTTGGTAAGTTAGCGAAAGAGAAGTAGTATTTAGCTGGGAAGTTCCCAAATAGCATTATGCATTTTATTTAAACAAAGAACTATAACTGATGTAGAGATAATAAAAAATGCAAATGCCTCAAGGACGGGCAATAGGATAGAAAATCTAGAGATATTGAAACTCCTGTTTTAGAATGGATACAAGCTATGAGACTTAAAAATAATCTTATTTTGGATTTCATTTGAATATACGAACAGGTATACGAGGCGGTTTCATTTCATCATACCGGTATATGCAAAATTAAGGTGGCATCAATGGTTACAGGCGAAAGCAAAGCATTTGAACAGATTCAATAACTAACATCTATCTTAGTATAGTGATTGTAGAATGGAACAGCGATGAAGTATAAGAAAGCTTTATTGCTACATAACTTCGGTATACAAACTTCCGAACTAAACATTAAGCTATTAGGCTATTGAACTTCGGTTTGTCTTTAAGGAATCTTATTACCGGAATTCTGACAGCAATAAAGATAAAACCCCGTAACTAACTATAAGCTGCAACAAAAATTCAGTAAAGAAGAGTTAGAATAATTATGAAATTGTAATGATAATTATTAGACGGCTTATAATTTACAGGCCAAATGCATGAAGATGTTCTAGTCTTTTTCATATTTCTTACTTAACTTGCAAGCTATTAATAATCTGCTGTAAGATAATAATTTTACGAAATAGCTCATACTATAATTTTATTAATTAGAAAAAAGACAGATGAACTTAAAATTCAACTTAGTGAATGTATTGTATTCATTATTTTAAGAATAACAGAAACTAAAATTAAAAATCATAACCTGAAAGGGAGGGAACTTAAAAAAATAGTATAAATATTAATAGTGAAAGATTTAAAAGAAAAATAACAACTGAAGAGATGACTACTTGACAAATTTTTCATTTAAGTTCCCTCACCAAACCTTCAAATAAATTTACATATTAAAGGTGGGGCGACTCTGTTGAAATACAATATCAGGCGATTGCTGGTGGCCGGCAACAAAGCTCCAGAAGGATAGGTACTTGCTTCTGTCTCTTAACATACTTCCCTTGGAAGCATAGGTACTTGCTTCTGTCTCTTAACATACTTCCCTTGGAATAAAGTTTCAGTTACAATAGTACTTCCCTTGGAAGCAGCTGAGTAGTATATGCAATAAATTTTATCTTTTCTGAAGAAGGGCAAACGAATTAAAAGCAAAATGTAGCAACAGTTGGTCAATCAAGTTAAAGTTTTATACACAGAGATTCATCATGTCCCAGGCGATGATGTTGAGATGCTTTTAATGTCCCACATTTATTGAACTATGCGAAACCACTCTTTCGAGATACAGATTAAGGTGTGGTGTGGTGTATTTAATTATAGCAAAGCACACTAGGGGCTATCTGCCTAAGGGGAGGGATGCCTATCGTGGAGGACTTTCTAAGGGAAACTGGCTCGTATACACGTTACACATGGGGAAAACCACGAAAACGCCCATGCAGCCAGCCCGTTCGCGGGATTCGAACCTCGGACCGAACTACCAGTGTTCAGCGACTTTACCGCTCGGCCGCTGGTGGGCCAGATACAGATAAAGGCTACAAGCTTATATAGTGTGACCGATATGTTACTCCGGATTTAAATTTCCTGCCGTTTTTTATTTCCTTACACGATAGCAATAGAGAAGTATTGTAGTCTGAAGAAAGTTCTTTTTTCAGATATCAACGGAAGTATTCACATTTTTACCGCTCCCGACCCCATGTTAACTATTTCTTGTGTGGCTCTGTATAGGACTATTACAACATCTAGTTTCTGCATCACTTTTTTATTGGCAGCGGCAATAGTAAACATATGCATATATATATATACACACACCCCTTAACCCGGCTTAAAAGTACTTACGCAAGCTCCGTTTTCTCAGTCATTGGTTGTAGACATAAAGTTCCAATTACAACAGTGCTTTAAATGACGAAATTATTCATGTTTGTGATATTTCAAAACTTAAAAATAATTAATTTTGGAGAAATAGCGAAATCTAACTTTTAATATATAGCATAACAGAAAGTAATTCTTGGCAAAATCTCGAATAATGTTGAACAAGAAATGCTCTCCCTAAAAATACTTCAACTTATTTTACAAGATCTATGATGATTCTCTAGACAACGAAACCGGTGGTCTCGTTAATACCATTATTATTGAACTAAATATCTGCGCATAACAGATAACAGAAACTAAAACAGGAATTCATCTCAATTTCGTTTGAAGGAAATAATGTGCTGGTAATATAAATGAGGACTGTGTATCATTATTTCGGAAAGATCATTAACACCTAACACATTTCATTACATTGTGATCGATGCTTAGTTGTAAGCGCAAATACTTTCGACAATTCCTTAACCATCGCCATCAGTTATTTATCTTGATCAATAAGACCATTTCAATCTATGTTGGGAAATGAGAGAGAAAAAATGCAACTTGTGTACTTTTATCGATAAAATTGGCAGACTGCTTTCCACATGTGGCTTTTCCTTGATCTACGAGAGCCCATTGATTAAGAGTTCACCTCATTCCATTTCCACTGCTTAAATGAAGCAATAAAATCCCTACAGGGATCGTACGCGTCTCTTACCATATATCCTCATTTCTCTTTCCCCTTTGACAGTCTGGAAGACGGGGGCATCCGTGGAGACCTCGCACCTGTAATTCCCTTCCGAGTCGACATCCGTCTTGCTCATGAATATGTTGCCTTCTCGACTCCGACTCAACTGGAAAAAAAGAAAAACACAAAAAAAGAACAGAATCAGACATGATTTATTGGATGAATGGGACACTACCGTTCTGCTTCATTTAATGATTTACTTTGCATCGATAAAAATAATTTTCCAAGAAATATGTAAAACATCACTTTATGCACACATGAAATTAACCACAATAATTTATAATATTGCTAAACTTTGAAAATCGTTGGAAATTTTTGTTTATAATTATATTTTGTGGTATTTTTATAGGTGATTAAATTTCTATTGATTTGCGTTTTTAGTGCATTTTTATAGTAATATTAAGCTTATTTATTGAGCATTTTATTTGATTTTAAATTTGTGGCAACTTAGCATGTTTGTATCTGTTTATTTCATGTATTACATTCTACATCTCTTAAGTACGAGATGATTGACGTCTTGTTTATAAGTATAGAACCGAAGATATTAGGAGATATCCACCTACTGGACCTTACGGACAGTTTTTATTGGCGAGCTGGTGAAATCTGGCTGTTTCTCGTTTGATCGACGATATTCCGAACAACTCATTTTTGGAACACTACACTGGTTTTCCTCGAAGTTTCAAATTTACTTATATCTCCTCTCTTGAGCATCAATTTAGTTAGGATGTTGTGAGCTTACGTCAGTCAGTTAAATCACTTTAGAATCTTCTCTTTAAACTGCACATAAGTTCTGTGATTTCTCGTTCATTCTTTGATCTAGGAGCAATTTCGCTGACTTACAATGTTACTCTCATGCTAAGGAGAATTTCATTTTAGCATGAGAGTAACATTGCAAGTTGCTAAGGAGAATTTCATTTTAGCATGAGAGTAACATTGCAAGTTGCTAAGGAGAATTTCATTTAAGCATGAGAGTAACATTGCAAGTTGCTAAGGAGAATTTCATTTTAGCATGAGAGTAACATTGCAAGTTGCTAAGGAGAATTTCATCTTAGCACTGTTTACATCTTGGGTACCTTACAGCTATTTATTTTTCTGTAAAGGTGTTATTTATCTGAATAAGTTTCAAAGAGAAATACGAATACATAATATACATTACAGATGTATGCATATTTGATGGATTTTTAACTATGCCATACCCTAATAATTACGAAAATGCTGTAAATGGTTACCAACTCGACGGTTTGCTTTTATCTGGAATATAGCATAAATGAATTCTATTTTTGTTCTCCATCATTTTTTATGGACTCAGATCATTATTGACGTTTAGAAGAAGCAGTTTCAAATATATGCAAATGTTCAGAGACATTCTAATCAGTAACTGAATACTAAGTACATTTACTGGGCTATAGCTTAATATCAATAAATATTTGTAACGCAAATTATCGGTTATGTGTTTTTAAATACTAGTAAAATTTGAAATTTCATTGTATTTCTAGTTTGAGCATTGAATACTGAGTTGTAAAGTTAAGCACATTTTCAGCAACACAAATTTTAGAAAAATATTTAAGTAAACAAATTTTTAATTTTGCTTATACAAAGAAAAAAAGAGTTTTTATGCTCTAACTATAAAGGAAAATGACAAATGAGCACTACTTTTCCCAGTCCGTTTTACTTAAAAATTATCTAGAGGTATTTATCCAAAGAAATCCTCTGACGATCCATAGTAGCAATCGTTTACGAAGATCAAAGTCAGCCACAGATTCATCAGCTTAATTTTGGGAATTCAGGGGGGAAATCATGCTAAAGATCAATATGTTGTTGAGCCAAATAATGCAAATTTAGCTCCTATACAGAATTCTAAAGCCTTATCTTCAGAATTTAACATTTAAACTGTAAAGCCGCTTTAAATTGCTTAATTTTTTAATATATACGCTCTTTATAGATCAAAGGAATAAAATTTATGATTTCTGATTTAAATTTACGTCTTTTTTTATCTTTAATTAGATTTTAGCTGGGAAATAACAATCAAAAAGTTATCGCAAAATCTTGAATATTAAAAGAAGTAAATAAAACATTTTAATTATTAGTAATTGCGGTGAATGAAAATGCAATAATTCATTCTGATTTTTGAAATCATTAATTATAATAGACTAGATTTTAATTATATTCTTATGAAAACGCGATGTTTATGGCTTCTTTTAATATTCCTAAAATTATGTTTTCTGCAGATACCGCTAGAAAAATAAGATGCTTCTTTTTAATTAGAAAGTTTTAAAAACGTTGACGCCATTATATTAAGTATATACTCATCCAATGTTATGTAATAGATCATCTAGAGCTGAAATCTATAGCTAAAGCAGTACAGGGATTTAAAACGTCTTTCATTAACATGTCTAATCACACAAATGCTAGCTAAACTAATTGCTTTCTGAAAAAATCACGGCTCAGGAACGGCCGAGCGGTAAAGTAGTTCTGACCTGGGTTCGATACCAAGTGAATGGGTTGTTTGCATGGGTGTTTACATGGTATTAAATGTGTGTACGAGTCAGTTTCCTTTAGAAAGTTCTCCGCGAAGTCATCCTTTCCCTGAGGCAGATACCCCTAGCGTGCTTTGCCGTAATCAACTACTGAAAAAAATCACAATTTCTATATGAGTTACGTTTATCATTTAAATACCTTAATTTACTTTATTGCTGATAAATAATATGCTGTTATGATTAAACTTGTGCTTACATTACATATCGGAAAGACTGAAATTTGAAATTATTTCCGGAAATTTAAATGCAAATTTGAGAAATCAAATGAAATTATTAACCCCTTAACTGCCGCGGAAAACACACAAGATTCATTCCCCAGTGCCACGGTTTTTCACATATACGCGCGTAGTTATGCGATTTATTAGGGGGAAAATAAGAGCAAGTTTTACTTTCTAAATATTGTTTACTTTCACAAAATAAACAGTAAAAGAAAAAAAATGAATGCACAAAATTTAATATTTTGAGTAAAAATATAATAAAAAGATGTAAGTATAATAAAAAGGATGTTTTTATAATAAAAAAGGTCCCTATAATGGGTTTTCGATCAATTCATTTTTAGACCAGTAAAGTGTAATATCATGTTTCAGTGTTATATACCTTGTGAAATCAGTATGCCTATAAAAACATATATTTCTTCTGAATTGGTTTGAAATGCCACGATATTTTTTTCTTGATTTTTCGTTTGCAAGGTGTTGTTGGTTCATATACTCGTCTACAAAACGGTTAGTTTCAGTAGCAATATAAAGCACGAGCAGTTCATCAAAAATAATTCAAGAAAGATAAATGGGTTTGAAACATCCGTTATATCTTTCTTTATTCCTGGAACCTACTACAAAAAGTAAACGAAAACGGAGGACACAGAATAATAAAAAAAAAAAAAACGTTTTACTCAAACAACACTAGCCAATACCACGCAGTCATCACTTTCAGCACTTTAGACACATCCCTCTCTCCAATTTCACCCCACACTTCTCTGAAATAATATCCTCCTTCACATACTTCGTCAAGGTCATTCTGGTGTTGCATTCCAAAGGTTTGCGAATAATTTTACGGGTAGCACCGCAAAGCAACTGATAGTATTTTGGAAGGGCGTATATATACGCCCGGGGCAGTTAACGCATCGGCTGAGCAAGGCGTATATATACGCCCGCGGCAGTTAAGGGGTTAATATTTTCATGTGTTCCAAGCTATGTGCTCTAAGTTACTTTACCAAATATTATTCAATTTCATAGTATAATATTTGGTAAAACAACTTGATCTCATATAATTATTACATAAAGTTTTAACAATTCGCAATTCTGTTCCAACACCTGAAAGGGACGTTTGCTGGTTATTTTCCCCAGGTGCAAATTAAATACGTTTTTCTGATATTTTTGTATTATATATTTTAATGCAAAATTACAATTACCATTATACAAAAAGAGTTAATTAAATAATGCTGTTCAATTGCTAATAACCTATGCTTAAAATTACTGCGGTTAACTAAAAGCGCCTCTACATAACTGCAATTTCTGCTCGTTTTCAGGTCTAAAATACCTAAAATTTATTCTTGAATTTTTAGTTAAAATTCATTAGTTAGCTCAGAACATCTAAAAAATCATTATCCCGAAATACCTAATGGTCCCGAAATGGGATTTTCAATCAAATCACTGTAAATGTAAATTTCACTGTAAATTTCACTTTCGATTTGTGTCTATTGTCATTTGACAAAATGTTAATATCTTTTAAACTGAATCTCTCTGTAGTGGATTAAGAAAATGAGCTATTTGAAAGCAAGATATGCAATTCTTAAGAAAATTCGTGCCTTACTTTTGCATCGGATTAATTTAATTAATAATAATAAAAAATCCTGAAAGTTTTCAGATTTTAAAGTGTTGCGTGGTACCTTTATTTATTAAATACCATGTTCTTCGCACTTAAACCATAAAACTTAATTTAACAGCAATATCACAAAATAATTTAAAAAGAGCACATCTTAAGAATTTCCGATACACAGTTCCACGCTGGAGATAAAAGTCTTTTTTTTTCCCGCACAGTGTTGTCATTGCTCGCTTTCAAATCGTGTTGAGTTTGTTATTCAAAAATTCGTTAGCGTTTAATAAAATATGAAATAGATAATAAAAAAGATTCCGAATTCCAAATCTGGGCTTCCAAATGCCCACATTCGAGTGCAGGAATACGCTATTCGAAGTTTGACGTCTCTAGGTACCGTTGTATTTCACAGTATGAGAAACATACATACATTAATGTAGATTCTTCATTATTTAATTTCTTTAAATATAATGCTTGGCTCTTAATATTTGGTGGCAACACTTTGAAAAGTGAAACGCCGTTTATAGTGAACCTACGACGCAAGTACGAAGAAATTGGTATTTAACTGTTAACAGTCTTATTAAAAAAATTGGACATAGATACGATAAACTGAGAATGGATTGAAAAATTAGAAAAAAGATATGCCAACACGTAATGCTGTTTTTTATTTAAAATGCTTTTTTTTATTATAAGTTTTGTTATTTTGGTGTTGAATTGCGTATAGTGTAAGTTCGAAGAAAACAATGCTTAATAATAA